TGGCTCAGCTGCAGCCATTGCAGCCACTTGGGGAGTGAACCAGCAATTGGAAGATTTTCCTCTCTGTCTCTCCTCCTCTCTGTATATCTGAATTTCCAATAAAAAATAATTAATAAAAGAAAACATATTTTTTTTAAAAAAATGTAAGATACGAGAAGGGCAGAGTTCCTATTCTGGTTGGCGTCCTAGATTGTATCAGTGGGCGAGCTGGCAGTGGTTGCCGAGGACGGGTGGGTCAGTTCTCCATGCCCTGTGGCGCATAGAAGTGCATGTAAGACAGGCCAGGTGCCTCTCGGCAGGCACAGTGGCTCCTGTGCTTACTACCGCGACAGGGACTGGGCCTTCTCGAGAGGGGCGGTTGGCAGTGCTGGCCTTCGGCTGCTGCACTGGACAGAGAAGTCTGCCTGAAAAAATTAAATGGAAAAGTTTATTAGTCCCTAATATTATCTTGAGTATTTTCTGCTCCACAGGTACAGTGAAAAATACTTTATGTGCTCTTATTATTGTTGTCTTTATGCGTAAATGCATTTTATTTGGTTGAAAGGCAGAATGACAGGAAAAGAAACAGATTCACTCTTCAGGGTTGTCCCTGGCCAGTGACTTAACGGAAAGCAGAAGTGCAGCCTCAAGTCTGGCAGGTCTCCCCGTCGGAGCAGGGGCCAAGGCTGAGGGTCTTCTTCCAGCGCTTTCCCAGGCACGGACTGAAACGGAGCAGCTGAGACATGAAGTGGCAGTCATGGAAATGCCACTCCCAAATTGGGGGCTTGCCCTGCTTTGCCATAACACTGACAGTTCTATAATGTTGACAGCAAAGAGCAGTCCCCTCCCCCTCCTTTCCTTTACAGTTTTTTTTAAGAGTTTACCATGTTATGATTTTGCATTCTATTTAGTAGAATTTTAAGTTTAAAGTTACTTTTGATTCTTAATTCAAAATTATTTCATTTGCTTCATTAGAGTAATTAATTACATTAGAAGTTACTATCCTACCAGGAGGCCTGATCAAACAACTCTCTGTATTTTCGTGTAAATTATGCACTTGAGTGGGATATTTCTTTCAAGAGTCTCACAGAAAACTTGTTGATGTTTGATGCAATGGAAGATCTCCGTTTTTTCACATTCTTTACTTTTAGTGTTCATATTTCTATGACCTTGAATCATTTCATGCCTTTAATTTACCATTGTTGCTATAGTCTTAGGATAAATGTCTGTTAGCAGTATGTATATTTAAGACCCAAAATTCAAAAATTGGCATCATTTGTATTTCAACTACTAGTCTTGACATAGAGCAGAATTTTTGTATTAACAAAAATTTGCTATAAAGAGAGGCTAGCTCAAGATGTCACCATTTATTAGACAGCAAGAGAAATTCATTAGGTCTGTGCTTCTCTTTTCTCCCGAGGATGAGCTTTGCGGTGTGCTATCAGGGCAGTATTCCCAATTTATAGAATAAGAGTGGAACAAGGAAGAAAATGTCTGATAAAATTTTGGAAAGAACCTCTAACATATTAACTTAGCTAAATGTTTCAAACCAAATCAAAGACATCTGAAAGCAAGTCAGAAGTTCCCCAGTGACTGCTCAGAGACTGCAATGTGAGGATGGACGGTTCCAGAACTTCAGTGTAACGACCAACCCTGAGTAGGCTCGGCATTCCTGATGAAAGGCTGCTTCCCTCGCAGGTGTTGACTGGGACTGTGAAGCCCTTTAACGGAAGTAGAAGGGCTCAGCTAGAAAAGAACGGGCAGTTGCAATGTAAAACAACAGGCTAAGTTTTAGGATAGTCTTTGTAGCAGAAGCAGGAATTTCCTCTTTTAAAAAAAATCAAGTTTTGCTTTTTACTGTGTAGATTTAAGACCTAATTTTATTTTTACCAGCACTGGGTATTGGTGTGGTCATTTTTAAACATTCTAAGCATGAGTACTTCTAATACTAACAGGTATTTTTTGGCGTTCCCCTTTATGACAAATTAATTCAGTAAAATATTTTTGTGTTTGTGAACTTGCAGAGCTAGTCCATTCAGATGTAGTTTTCATTGAATCATTTCGATTCTCTAAATTTGTGTTACATGGAGCTTCTGTATTCTATAAGTTGTGCCAGAGTATATTGGAATGCAGCATATTACTTCATTATGCTGTTAATTTATGAGTCTTTTTCTAAACTTCTCATGAATTAAGGTAATACACTATTACGATTACCTACACTGAATGTATTCTGATTGGATTTTGTTTTAAAATAATTGGATAATGTTACAAGAAGGACATTTGGAACAGTAATCAGTATTTCTTCCTGTAAACTAGTCATATTCGATTTACAACTACCTTAGACACATTGTGAAGGAGCAAAGCTATCTGGAGTTGTATACACTTAGTTAGCAAAAGTGTAAAAAAAAAAGTGGATATCTTTTTTTAAAACATTTATATTTTTTTGGAAAGTCAGATTCATGAAGAGAGGAGGAGGGACAGGAAGATCTTCTGTTGGCTGATTGGCTCCCCAAATGGCCCCGATGGCTGGAGCTGAGCCAATCCGAAGCCAGGAACTTCTGGGTCTCCCACACAGGTGCAGGTCCCAAGGCCTTGGGCCGTCCTCGACTGCTTTCCCAGGCCACAAGCAGGGAGCTGGATGGGAAGTGGGGCTGCTGGATTAGCTCCGGCATATGGGATCCCAGCATGTGCAAGGCAAGGACTTTAGCCGTTAGGCACCGCACCGGGACTGTGTTTGGATATCTTAATACAAAGATAGTCTTTTACCATAATTTTAAAGTACAGTCCCAAAATGAATGCATTAATAAGGGCTTACATTTAACTTTGGGACTTTTTTGGCTGCATTGCAGTCAGTATGTGTGCTCTATCTACAAGTATTAGTACTTTTGAATATAATTATCAAATGGACCATGAACTCCCAATGTGGTTTTTATTTTAATCTCCGGGAATTTATTTCAAATGAGCAAAGTGGTTCTTAGCCCAAGCATTGTTAGATAATGTTGGTTTATGCAACTTAACATTTTTCTTTAATTTGGATGACTTTAGGAATACCTGCCACAAAAATAACATTTATTTGAGACGATTTATAATTAGCAACTTAATACAAGTTTTCTGAATTTTAACTCTTTAAATCTTTCCAGAATAAAAGCTAGAATGTAGTGCTCACTTTGGCACAATACATAGAGCGATGCAGAGATTAGCATGGCCCCTGCACAAGGGCAACATGCAAATTGGTGAAGTGTTTCATATTAAAAAAAAAAAAAGCAACACTATATTGTAGAGCATAAACAGCCTGTCTCCAGCTAGTCTGGTATTAAAGACATAAAGCCATATTAGTAAAACTCCCCTGGTGTTGGTCCTCTTACACATTTGCAGCCCTCGCCCCTTCTCGGAGTCCCAGGTTCGTCTGATGCAGCCTCTCGGGAGGTGGCAGAAGATGGCCTGAGCGCTTGAACCCTTACCTTCCCTGTCCTAGACAAGCAGTGTCTGGCTCCTCGCTCTGCCTGACCCGATTGCTGTTGCGATCATTTCTTAAAGTGAACCCAGCAGAGAGAAGGTGGCTGTGTCTGTTTTTGTTTCTGTCTGTCCCTCTCTCCCTCCCTGTCCTCTCTTTTTTCGTTCAAGAAATAAATATGTGTGTGTTCCCATTTTGGAAGCAGCTTTTCTGATGTTTTTTCTTTCCCCCATATTGTCTTGGACTTTGCCATTGCTGCATTTGAATTCAAGAATAGCTGGTTGTGGCGCTTAAGAAATTCACTGTTCTCATAGTGAAGGACAGAGCTGTATGTCAAAGCATGCTTGCACATGGTCCTGTTTACAGGATAGGATGGGGGAGTATTACAGTGGGATAAGCTGCCCATGTGCGTTCAGCCTTCTCACGCAGTGTGAGTTCAAATGCCTGGCTCTCTGCTTCTGATCTAGCTTCCTGCTGATGTCGCTGAGAAGTCAGCAGATGGTGGCTGGAGTGCCGAGTCCTCTCATAAGGGAGACCCACTCTGTTTTTCCACAGAAATTTTTCAAAAAATTAGGGAATATGTTATTTTTCCCATTTTACAAATTAGTAGTACTAAGTCAAGTTGCAGTTACCAGATGTGCTGCTTGTTTTTGTCTGAATGAACACCACACTTTCATGACTTTTAGTGCCTTTCTTGCTACTTCATGTTATTTCCTGTTAAGTACAGTATATTTCATAGTTCTCTCCTACACTTTACATTTGTAGCTGGTGATTGCCAGCCAAGAGTCAGTCAGAAATAATTATTTTCTTACTGAACAAGTGAATCGTAATGTTGTGTTTTCCCAGCTTGAAAATATATTTATCAAGGTGAACTGGAAACTTGTTTAATTATTAAGGTAGAATCCTTTGGAGCAGTGATAAATATTGGACCTTTTTTCAGTTTCTTTAAACTACATTGATTTTGTCATGTAAGTTTCCAATGTAAACCATGCTTTTACTTATCAATTTGAATGGAGAATTTCCCTTACTAATATTTGATTCAGAAATTTAGTGCCAGCAGCAGCATTTGCATGAATGTGTGAGATGGCAGACCTAAGCAGGTTTAACTGAGACATGTTATTAGGTGATGAGACCTTTGGTTTTAATTTATAAAACAATATTCTAATGTATAATATCAGAAAAACTAATAAAAGGTACATATTTTATTTGGAAGTTTTTAAGACCTAAGAAACTTAGCAAATATCTAAAAAGATTCATATTTAATCTCCAGAGTCCTCCTTGCAATATTAATTGAGTCCTGTATATATTTGTCTTCCTTCCCAAGTAGTCCTGTGAGAAGTTTTTCACATGAATTCATCTGGGTTTTTAGTCCCTAAAGAACTTGGAGGTTCCTAAACCACAGGTTGTTTTTTATTTGTTTTGTTTTGTTTTAGAATAAATGCCACAAAATTTTCAGGAGCAAAGAAATTTTAAAAGTTTTATATTACTTTTTGAACCATGGTCAAAATAAATTTAGTGTTTGGCGTAGTGTAGAAAAAGATTAACTGTAAAATCTGTTGTTCCACAGGTACTGTGAGAATAGAGATGTTTCGAAATATGCAGAATGCAGAAATCATCAGAAAAATGACTGAAGAATTTGATGAGGTATAGCATTCCAGTATTTATATCAGTTGACTGCTTATACATTTGAATGATAAATCTGTTAAGTAGTTTAGGTTCTGTTTTGATTTGGTGCTAAAACATGATTTTTCTTACTAATGTGGTAGTGTGATTTCAAAATCAGTAACCTTTGCGTATTTTGCTCATTGTTTGAAGTAGCATTGGATGTTAACTGTCGACCATCTGATAAGGATCAGAAAATTAGAGCCATAAGGTGGAAGTTGATGTTTTGTTCTTGAGGACATTCTCAAGTTCCCAGTTTTATAAATATATTACAGTAACTTTATACTCTGTCGAATGCTAGGTTCGTTAACTACTTTGGAAGAAAACATACTTGCAAAGGAGCCTGAGCGAGGTTTCATATTATATGTGTCTAGAAAACATCAAGCCATGTTGTCTCATTTAAGGCTTTTGCAAATCCTATTAGGGAAAGTCCTGCTTAGCTTCCGTCAAGAATTTCCCAGAAGTATTTCACATGGTACTCTCCTCCCAACACAAACATAGTTGTGTGTATATATTTAATTAAATTTTTATTTGACCTAGTCTATTTTGGAGCCTTGACTTCATTTACATATATGTTTTTCACTATTCTCACTTTCACTGAAATACTTTTTAACTAAAAGTTTTAATTGTAAATGTCAAAACATCTGCAAATAAAACAGCATGAGAAAACAAAAACAAACCAAAAAATTTGCGATTCTTCTTTTGTGTTGTATTTATGTTGAACTGAATTTGTGTCATATCTTAGACCAGTAGTTCCAATTTTAACATTCTGCCTTTTGTTTTAACCCATTATGTCATATACATGGAACGCCTGTGATGACTTACACTGAGCAGTCAATATTCCTGTTATGGTAATTTTGAAGAAAATATTATACCATTGAAATATTGTCAGGGTTAAAGACTTGAAACTTCATTTTTACTTTGATAGATGTGCTCCTTTTGCATGATTCTCAGTACAAAAATATTGATTTCCTCCTATATTTGCTCTTTAGTAGGTTGACAAAAACAATGAGTGTCAATTTTTGGTTGATACACTAATGCAGAAAATATGGTAAAACATTCACACACTGAAAATATAGGTTTTTTTTTTTTTAAACTTTTAGGGGGATGTCTGAGAAGAGCTACTTAGGGCGTGATGAAGTTTACTTCAGTGTGCAGGTTTGTGGGTTCCTCGGCCCAGAATAAGGTGGTTCCATTGATTTAGGCTTCTTGAGACCAGTGCTGAGGGTGGAGTCATATGACATACTCTTCTCTCGCTTCTGTGTGATCCCTCTTTAGGATGCCATTGTAGAAACTCAGGCTCTCTGGCTGTCCAGTGCAGCTAGTCATGTTTCAAGGTGTCCACACCCTGACACTAACCCATTACTGTGCAAGTGAAGTCTCTGATTGTGGAGAGACCCTGGTGTACGCATAGTCAGGAATGTGGTGCATCTTTTCCAGCACGTGTTTTTGTTCATTCCAGAAGCACGCTGTGAACATTTTAAATGGACTTGTTTAATACATGTACACTTCTACCTTCACTTCTATTTATTTTATCTTTGATCACTATCAGAAGTGAGCTTCAATATTTGATACTGAATATTCCATATTTTATTAAGATTTTTTCTTCCAAAAATTCTTCAAAAGGTTATTTTGTCCCTCAGTGTTAGGAGTGAACAGTATTTTGTGGTAATATTCTGTAGATTTGTTGAATTATTGACTCCCAGGAGCCAAGGACAGTATTTTGGTTCTTAAGAAATTATGTTTAAATTTTTGTTGAAGCTGAAGGTGCCATACTATCGTAAAGTAGGATAAAAGTAAGATTACTTATTTTTAATGTGTGTGGAAATTTGGAGAGGTATTACAAATTATAATGGCCTAACAAGTATACTTTAGCTGCTATCTTTATTAGAAATAGGGCAGATTATGTTTGTTACTGGGTAATATCTTTTGGAGGGATAAGCAAACTTGCACAAAGCCAGAAATACTTCATAACTGTAAGTTTAAGCTAGTTTGAAATTCTAGTAAGCGGTAATTCCCAGGGAGCTGTTTCTTGGGTCTGTAGCTGAGTCAAGTCGTGCTTGGTTCTTGTTGGAGCCAGTCACCGCAGATGAAAGCTCAACACAGACTTGTTTCTTCCTCGTGTTACTAGGGTTACATCTGCATATATACACTTTGTAATAAGCATTTTTAAAATGTTTGCTTTAGGTCTCTTGGTGTAATTCTAAAACTTTTACATTTTATTTTTATTTCAGGAAACTGTAACATGGTATGTTTATGATGTATTCATTAAATACCTTTAATTCCTTTCTGTGAGGTTTTGTGATTTTGTGAGATTTTTGTGGTTCTGCTATAGTAATTACAACTTTCCTGGCACTTTTCTTCTCATTTCTAATCCTGTATGCTTCTTTGAATTTCTTGTTTCATCTGTTTCTACAGTCAAGCACTCAAAATTCAAGTACTTAAAACAATTTATTTGAAGTTTAGTTTTTATATATTGTTTTCGGTAATGAGTCCTAGAGAAGGAAAGAGAGCCCAGCCTCTGTTCGTTCCCGCTCCGTCTGGGTCTCCCATGTGGGTGCAGACACATTAGCACGGTCTGCGCCAGGAGAGGGGCAGCCAAACCAGAGCTCACACTGGGGAGCCACACAGAGCCTGCTCCCAAATGTTATTAAGTCTCAAAATAAATGAGATAAAGATTAACAGATTATCTAGGAAGTACTTGAAGATATGATAAAGAAAAACTCAAATTATCTCCTGTTCTTAATTATGGTCTCTAAATTTTTTCAGTAATGCATATCAGCAATAAAATATTTTCCAGCCCGAAATCCTAATAGTGAGACTCTGACAGGACTAACTGCGTAAGGTGGTTCTTCCCTCCTCTTCTCCCACTTGCTTATTTTGAAAAGCTTCACTAGAGCATTTAACCTAATGGGAGGAGGCTTACAATGTATACCCTCATGATTCTTTCAGGCATTTTTAATTTTAAACTAAATCTATTTCCTAAATTATTTTAAAAATAAATGGAAGATTGGTTTTTTTTTTTTTCATTTTACTTTGGTTATCAAGAGCATAAATAGTCCTTGTTCATTGTATTAAAGTGTAGTATTTAAAATTAAATGTATACTACCACTGTACTAACAGTATTCTTATGAAAGTAATCTGTAAAGGACATGCACACAAGATAAACATCATTTTTAAACTATCTTAGTCTAAGTGTTATCATAGAACGGTGTCTCAAGTCTCAGCATTTATTTAGTCAAGCTCCTAAACCCATATTTTTAACAGCCATCTTAATTATTTCATGTTTTTGAGAATTTGCAATTAAAATTCAATAGACCATCAAGCTTTTATCATTTTTATTTTCATCTACTTGAAGGGCAGGAATGAAGAACACAGGTCTGTCAGTTTGATGCTTCCCTCCCCGAGTGGTGCCAGGATACCAGAACTCCATGCTGCTCTCTCACCAGCTTGGCGTTACCCACTGCCCCTGGAGCTCTACCAGGCAGCTGGATAAAAGCAGAGTCGTCATATGGGTGACAAAAGGCATTTGAACCATGGGCTTTACTTAGTGACCTTAGTTTCCACTTTGCCTTTATTTTTTTTTTTTAAGGTTTATTGTTTTTTTAATTTAAAAGTCAGAGTTACAGAGAAGGGAGTCTTCCATCCACTAATTCACTCCCCTCCCCAAATAGCCTCAACAGCCTTGGCTAGATGAAGTGAAAGAAAGAGCCAAGAGTTTCTCTGTTTCTGCCACATTGATGCAGCGGCCTAAGCATTTGGGTTGTCCTCCACTACCTTACCAGGCACATTATCAATGATCTGGGTCAGAAGTACAGCAGCCAGGAAATGAACAGGTGCATACATATATTTATAGGATCCTGATGCTGAGGGGTGGGGAAGCAGCTTAACTTGCTGAGCCACAGCACATACTCTGCTTTTAATTTTTATAATAATCTAAGAAGTATTGGTTCTAGTATATTCCTTATTTATTTTTTACTGCATTCTAACATATTTATCTATTTGGAAGAAAGTGCTTGATTCATCTTCTATTCACTTACCTAACGACCACAGCAGTCACAGCTGGGCTTGGTCAAATCTGGAGCGCATGTGCCATCCGGGCTCTGACATGAGTGAGGGTAGAAAATACTTAGGACCTTGGGGCCAGCTCCTTGGCTCAAGCGGCTTATCCTCCACCTGTAGCACTAACATGTTATGGGTGCCAGTTCATGTCCCAGCTGCTCCACTTCTCATCCAGCTCCCTTATTGTGGCCTGGGAAAACAGCAAGAGATGGCACAGAGCCTTGGGACCCTGTCCCGCTTGAAAGATGTAAGTGAAGCTTTTAGCTCCTGACTTTGGATTCGCTCAACTCTGGTCATTGTGGCCATTTAGGGAGAGAACCAGTGAATGGAAGTTTTTTTTTTCTGTCCTTCTCTGTGTAAATGTGCATTTCCAAAAATAAATAAATCTTTTAAAACATGAAAAACATCAACACTTGGGAGCTTAACCATTGCTGTGCCAGGTGCGCTAGCAGAAAGTTGGATGAGAGGTGGAGGAGGAGCCAGGAATCTGAACCAGCAGCTCACCTCGCCGCGCCTCAGTGTCGATGCAGCCACTCTGGTTTTTGCATCTTGGACTGTGTTCTTGAGAACTTTGTATTTCGTGAGAAGTTAGAGATAGTACTAAGTTGTCACATTGGTCATATGTACCTTAACAATAAATGAGAAAACCAGTTTAGTGCCATACAAAAATTATGAGGTACAAATCCATGCTATTAAATGTTAGCAATAATGGTTTATTTTGGAGTTTTAGATGAAATACGTAGAAATAAAGGCTGAAGCCTCTGCCTATGGTGCCTGCTTCCCATATGGGTGCAGGGTCCTGTCCCACCACTGCACTTTTGATCAGGTTCCCTGCTTATGGCCTGGGAAAGCATAGCGCGATGGCCCACGGCTTTAGACTCCCCCATGTGGGAGACCCAGAAGAACCTCTGGCTCCTGGG